GCCTACTAGGTGGGGACCGACGAGATTCGAGAAGACACCGCCTACTAAGGCGGCGCCTATGCTGTTTTCCGTATATAGCTACGCGCTATTTGGCAAACTTTAACAATTTATAGCGTTAAAAATAAAATTCAGATTAAAAATAGCTCAGGACTTTTCGATTTAATTTCTTGTCCTGCACCTGATGGTATGCTTTGTATTCGTTCGTTTAGTTTCACCCAGTATAGTAATCACTGATTTCGCGCAGAAGTCCTGCAGATTCTGCCATGTGATTACGATAACGAATGGTCTTTGAGAGACTACCCCGTTGACTATTACTGCTCTGTCTATTACTATGGTAGCACCGTCGGTCTTCACTTACCGTGGAGCAGATGTGCGAAAGGGCCTCTCGGACCCGACGATGAGCGCATTTAAACGAAAATTATTAGATACTTACGAGACGATCGACCCTGCATACGGTAAACTGCGGGGACGACCATATTACGCCGGTTCGCGTGTCGGGTCTACGTCGGAGGATAGCCCGATCGGATCGCTGAAATCGAGCGGCGTCGACTTCATTAGAATTTAACGCTGTGCAAAGTGAGCGCTAAGTGGATCTCTTCGTTCAACTGCCGTCCTTTGCACCTGCAACCACGATTTTCCGTGGGTTACCTAACTGCGACTGTATTCGTGATAGTTCACATTTCTAGCATACGATCTCAAATACATCAGACCCTTCTTTTGTGCTCAGAGATCAATTTTTTTCTAATGAAAAAAAAAAAAACACGTAGATTAAAAGAAAGGTTAAAAAAAGGTCTAAATATGTATAATTGTTTTTCTACAGATATATGCGTTTAGAAATTTTTTTCATAATAAATGTGTTAAGACATATGTTACATTAAGCCACAATAAATATAGTATATAATACAAATATTTGTACTGAAAGCAAGGTAATCGCTGTATATTGCAATATTCACATTGCTTAACGATTGATTTACTTTATTAATCAATGTACATTCCAAGTGTATTTAATATTCCAAGTTTATGAGAAACACTAATGTGTATCTAATGAGCATCATGAACGGATGATATCAAATCGTTTATTATTGATTACACAGCCTGCTAATCGAAACTGCATCAGCTACAAGATAACTGCACCGTCTGCATAATATATGATTTACACATTATTATCTGTATAATCTGAAGCGAATATAAATTTAATTTGAAATAAATCTCGCTTTATTCACGTATATTTTCCCGCTAAATTAAAGTTTGTAGAATTTATAGAAAGAAAATATTTTTATTTTCTATTTATGTAGGATATAATTTTCGTACTGTAGAAAATTTTTATAATTTATAGTTCTATAAATTTCTCTCTCTATAATTTATAGACAATTTTTATGATTTACAGTTCAATGAAGAACGTGTGATAGATTTATATACCGATAAAAAAAATATATATATGTGTATATAAATTGGTATTTAACCAATATAAATATTATACCGAGCTATATAAAAAAGGTCGCTTACGACCTTTAAAATGATGATTGCTTTTTACCTTGCATAAATCAAAAGCTCCATAAAATAATATCGAAATGAAAGTAATTATCCAGTGGCTATTCGTAATAATAACCATTTAATAGCCGCGTCAGTCTTTGAATAATCAAACAGAAGGGGAAGCTTTCATGAGTGAATCTTACGGCAACAGTAGAATCCCAGAGGGTCTGGCGAGAGGAAAACGGAGCACCACAAAGCCGTTCGCGTGGAGTACGTCTTTGTTTACCCCAAACTATCCTCCCTCACTCGGGTTTTCGTCTTTTCTCCGGTCTCCCTCGCTCACTTTCGGCTCCACCTACGAACTTCTTCTGTCCTCGCTCTTCCTTCCCTCAATCAAGTATTGCCAATTCTTATCCCCTCGGATCGCCGCGCAAGTCTTGGCAAGATTCCCTTTATCCTGGCCACATAGCGCTCGTTCCTGTTTAAACAAACCCAGGTCGTAATCGAGACTAGATCGATGGATTAAGAATTCAATTGCGATTCTCTCTTTCCCACCTATCGTTCAACACCTTCGCGATCTACGCACCGTAAAATCCCTTGAAATGTAGCCCTTAACAGGGCCGCCGGCTGGTTATCCGTGTTCTACAAGAATCGCGCGCGAGGGATGAACGTTTTTCCGAAAAACATTTCCACCATTGCGGCACCGACGCTCACGGCGGGATACCTATAGTCGTGGAGGCGAGAGCAGCAGCAGCAGTAGCGGCGGCAATAAAGTTTGCTTTATTTTTACTATCCCTCCGGCCAAGTACCGCCCCGTATTTCCTCTGGATATTGACATATCGGGGGTGCCAGGGTTTCTCCTCTTAACGCCCTTTTTACACTGGCACGGAATTTATGTCTTCTTCCCATCCCGCTCTTTTCCCCCAGCGCTTTCCTCATCACCCCGTCTTTTTCGCTTCTCCATCTCTCGCCCCAGTTCTATTCTCCTCCATCTTCGGTCGTTATTTGGCGGCGCTCCCTTTTCATCACCCACGCACCACCTAATTCTCGTTCTCTTCCTATCTCGGATTCTTAGACAATCAATCACGCATAACATATCTCCGCGTTCGCAAAACCAACCGGAAATCTCTATTAGAGAGCAAATTGCCGTGGTCTTTTTTTTCCCCGATCTTTCGATTCTACCGTAGAATGACGGAGAATGACACGATCGTAATTGACAACGATTTCTTCGTCGAGCGTTTTCGTGACGGCTGAAGAATGCCATTTGGTTGTGAAATCGTGGATTAGGAATCCCGAGAAACGAATGGCACTGAATTTTCTACGCAACAATCTCAAATCGTGGAGAGGAGTAGAAAAATATGTAATCTCGGGCGTGACATAAGAAACCCGTGACGCATATCCGCTTGTCTACTTGAAAATCGGATTACCGTCCTTTACCTTGATACACAATTTTGACATGTGTGCTCAAAGTCTTATTTTTATTTCGTGTTTGTTAACGGAACGAAAAATAAAAATTTGGCGAATATATTATTCAAAATTTGTATAGTTAAAATAATAAATAATAGAAAAATAATACAAAATCAACTAATCTGTATCAGTGTTCAAGCTCGTACACTGTAAAAAAAATATGTAAAATTACATAAATAATAAATATAAAATTACATAATAAATAATGAAAAGGTAAACATTTCTATTATTTATCGTATAATTTTACACTTATTATTTATGTAATTTTACATATTTTTTTACAGTGTATGTAAACAAACACAATGATAACTTACTAAATATATTTATTGCTCGTTTCACATGGCCTTGTAATATTAAGTAAGTTATTATTGTAAAATAATAAATTTTTAAATTAAAAGGTTCCAGGTCTTAACTATTAAAAAATTTAAATTTTATTCAAATTTATATTACAAACATTTTATTTCGCAATACTATATTAAAAATGCAAAGCAAAAGTTAATTACGCGACGCACTCGATGACATCTATTCAATCTCGAAGAAAGATGTTAAAGATCTTAACCAGGGTTGTAAGGTCAACTAGCACGACATGACATTTACCAACTTTTTACACAATCGGGCGAAAAACTTTCTCCTCTTCTCTCTCTCTCTCTCTCTCTCTCTCTCTCTCTCTCTCTCTCTCTCTCTCTCTCTCTCTCTGCGCCACAGTTTGATGGGGAAAAAGAGGAAGGGACTTTTAAACTATATTAATAACCGCATTTTTGTCGGTTCATCGGACACATTTGAAAAACGTGAAGGCGCGGTGGACGCAATCCGGTTAGCGAAAAAACAATGAAGGGTTTGTATGTCGCCTTTCACCCTCTTTCTCTCTTTGTCTCCTGTTTCTCATTGCGTTTCTATTTATTGGTACCGGAAAACGTACAGAAGCACATAGGGAGAAAAAGAGCCATGTGGGAATGCAGGAGGGAACGGGAGAAACGTAAAAGAGCTGCGGACACAACGGCGAAAAATGTAATATCGTGCCGGGAATGTCAAGCCGAATGCAGATCGAGTGGACGTTGAAAATCGTTCGACAAAGCCCGCGAACCGTTTAGCCAGAATAGAGAGTCTTCCAATGTGTAGCTTCGATATATTGTTGAAAGCACGCGGCCGTGCCTCGTTACGAGCTTTCGGCGGAGAATATATATCGCGGCTGCTGGACCGCAGTCAATTATAGGTAAACTTTATTTGACATCGATAGATGTATAATTACGTCGGAGAGTTAAACGATTCGTTGATGCGATATATTCGGATACCCTTCTATTTACGTATATCGATATATGTATAACGTCAACGCGGCACCATGCGTGACATTTCTAGAGTCAATAAAGAGCCCGCGTGCGGCTTTATAATCCCGATACAATAGAAGTACTGGAGATATATTATTGACGCATACACCTTTGTGTAACGATATTTGTAATGTCAATTAAAAGATGTGAATTGGATCTAAAAGAGTGTAATTTCATTGATAATTTAAAAATAATAAAACAATGCGTAATAATATTAACGGAAAATTTACTGAAAATCGTCGATAATTAAAATTCTTTGCGCACAAAATGGAAAATTGAGATGATTAATAATTCATTTTAAAAATTGATATGATAATGTTATAAATATCTAAAATCGTCAGAGTTATTGGCAAGAGTAATTTATATTTTCTTTTAATCTGCTTTGTAAAGATTCTAATTTAACCAAAAACTTTTAATAGAAGTATTATGTTAAAATCTTGCACAATATCTAATTTTATAAAATTTTATTAAAGTTATTTTCTTTTTTATTTTGGTGCGCGCATTCTTTGACTTATTATATTGGTATCTGATTTATCCTTATTATAGATATATAAAAATTGAAATTGTTTTATTATTTTTAGATATTATTAGCAATACTGCTATCTTTTGTAAATTTAATATAACTTGACTAATCGACAAACGCATTGTGCTTTGACGCAAAATTTGCGAGGCAAATATCGACTAAAATGTCTTGACGAGTCTGACTGTTTCGTGAAACGGCGTATTCTGTTTCAGGTCAAGTTGATCTCTGGACACAAAGCACCAGCGGCTGCGCCTGCAGCTTCAATTCGTCCAGCAACGATTGCGCTTGTTGTGTGCCGTCAGGCGGTTGCAGCTGCGGTGCAGCTTCGCCAGATAGATGCGCTCAGTGCGGCCTGGAGCAGCATTGCGCGAATAGTAAGTAACCTATAACAATATACATATAATATACAAACCTGATGTCCTGGAAATATATTTCCGAACGAATATCTAAAACGATTTTTCCTCAACGAAAAAGTCGAGACATCAATAATTTTTGAGATGTTTTTGAAAATAAGGAATTTTTCGCAAACTAAGCCTTGTGGAAATAAAATAGACAAAATCACTTCTTTCTTTTATTAATTTTATGTAGAGTTTACTTTAATAGAATTTTAATTCAAGATTTAATTACGAAGATACATGATGGCAAAAATTGGACACATGCAAGAAATGATGGCCTCTCTCGACATTTTCGTTGAGGAAAAATCGTCTCCAAATGATCCCAGAAATCTGCCATTAACAAGTCATTCGCGAGTTTTGGGTCCATTCTATTGTATATATATATACCTATTATATTTTCTCAAAATTATATAATATAATTAATTGCAAACATTGCGTGTTTTATTTTAAATGCAGATCTCCTCCTTTAAAGGCACATTAATTATTCTTGACTTATACAATTTACTAATTAAAGCAAACGACGTAATTATATTATACGTTTGAATGAAAGAAATATTAAATGAAATCTTTATTCGCCGCTTTCTTTGCGCGATCGACTAACTAACATTTTTGCTCTTTCGGTCTTACGGGAAATACAATCATCGTGTCGAAAAGACACGGGGGATCTCTTTGAGTCGACGCAGACTAGAAACAAGATTCGCGCCATTAAGCCACTTGCCTCGCGCCTCTTCTCATTTACAGTCACCCGTGTTGCGCGAACAAGTGGAAATTAAAGCGCGCGCGCGAGGGAGTTTCCCTTTGGAAACAGTTCGTGGGATGAAGAAAATGGGTAGGAAGTGCGATTCAAAGGGCAAATGGAGAAAAGAAGGAGAATGAGCGTTTATAAGAGGATGAATCGCAATTTTACTCAAAAGACACCGAGATTTCCGAGAAAGAGAAGAAGTCTCGATCGCGAATGTTGCTTCTTTTCCGCGAAGGAATAAATCGTATCGGGCAAATTACTCTTGTGTATATGCCGAGCTTTCTTTCTTCCAACTAATCACTCTTGACGAAGTTCTTATGCTCCATTCATCCAACCTTTCTTTGCGCTAATTACTGGAGGCGATATTGCCTTCGTGTTCCATCCATCAAATCCTTCTCTCCTCTCGGATTTCTTGCAGCCGTAGCTTCGTAGGAAATATATATGAGACCGTGTAGATATACTATCCTTACTGTGTACACGGCTAGAAGAGTTTATAAATTATTTTCTCGTGCAAGTTTATACATGGGATTATTTAAAATGCAAATGAAAAATAGGTAGCGAGACTATATAAAAATTCATATCTTAGCAGCAATATGTATATATTTTTTTAAGATCAATCAAAATTAATATTGGACGCTAGCGGTGAAAATAAACTTGGCAAAATTGATTTCGACGTAACTAGCAATTTTATTCAATACTTTCACGACGTTTCGATCATTTGGTTGTGGTCCTTATCAAATGAGAATTCTATAACACAATATTACACAACAGTTTTTAACAATGTTGAAACATACAAGAACATATTTAAATGTTAAGTTATGACCACAAATTAATATGATTTATAATTTAGTAGACCATGCAATTTTACTTTCAAACAAACAATTTCACAATACGAATATTGAGATTGTAAAGAACATTTTAATTAATAATTGCTTTCCGTATTATTAATAAATATGTAAATAAAAGAATTAATGTACTAAATAATAATAGGAATGTTAACCGTCACAATGCGGATAATAACGATAGTTTGAATAATGATTTGGATAATAACGATAATGTGAATTCGACTCAAGATAAGAATTATGTGATTCCATTTTCATATGTTAAAGACGTTAGCGACAATATTAAAAAGTCACTTAAAAATGCTAACTTAAATGTCGTTTATAGTTTGCCAAAAAGTTGAATAGGCTGATAAAACGAAGTACAGATTTAATAATTAATGATATAAAAACGAATGTAGAGTATACAAGATTAATTGTGAAAATTGTAATGCCTCATACATTGATTAAACAAAAAGACATTTATGCACTAGAGTGAAGGAACATGCCAGCAATATTAAATTACATGAGTCTAATCATTCGGTTTTGAGTAAACACAGATGTGATTTTGGACATGACTTTAATTGGAAATCACCGACCATTTTACATAATGAGAAACATGTAAGAAAGAGAGAGATTGCTGAAATGTTCTTCATAAAGAAGCATGATAATACTGTTAACCTACAGAAAGACACTGAGAATTTGACAAATATTTACGAAAAAATAATAAAGATTGTTTAGTTGTGCGTTTCAAATTTAGTCGTTTGACAAAACATCATAGCGATGGGACGTGTTCCTCTTTTAACTATTAATTTTAAATAAGATCGGTTTTATGTTGCGTTAATCTCATTTTAATTGATGGGTATGTTTGTGGTCATAACTTAACATTTAAATATGTTCTTGTATGTTTCAACATTGTTAAAAACTATTGTGTAATATTGTGTTATAGAATTCTCACTTGATAAGGACCACAACCAAATGGTCAAAACACCGTGAAAGTATTGAATAAAATTGCTAGTTACGTCGAAATCAATTTTGCCAAGTATATTTTTTTATATTGAATATAAGAAAAATTGGATTTTATATTTTCCCTCTAAAAAAACAAGATAAAAAATTTTTACGAACTCGAAATCTTTATTGAAGATAAAGTTTCAAGTTTGCTTTATATAAGAGTATTTTATAAAATTGACATACATATCGATGATATAGTCTGTGATGTAAAAAACGAAATAATTCCCAAGAAATACAACATCACGGCTTATATAAGATAATACTCGCGCTGCAATCACGAAACATCCCGCGCAACATCCCAAAGGGAGGGATGCAATTAAGAATCAAATTACACACTATGGCAGATTGCCTCATAATATTACGCCGAGCTGTCGCGACTCGTCGTCGCCCGAATAGCACGACTGCATATAGAGTCAGCGCCAATAAAAGTATACGAGCAAGAAAAATCGTTATTAGCCGCACTTCATTTTTCCCTCTCGCTGTCCTATTTTTTCGCGTGAAGATTATGGCGCGAAAATTTGATATCGCGAAATGAAAAGGTTATCCTTGTGTACAGAGAAAACTGCAATTAAACTGCAATTACATATGTATTGTACGGAGTATATTCGTTATTACTGCAAAAACTAACGGAAGAGAGACTGGAAACTAACTGGAAAATATTCGCAAAATGTTACTGCGATATACGCCTAGCAGCAATACGAGCGAGTGAATTTGCTGTCGTATATCGCTGTCGTTTCAGCTTTTCTCAGTATTTTTACATCAACACGATCGTCTTGTTCCGTTTCAGTGTGCAATATAACGTTGGACAGCAGGCAGCTGTTCAGCAAATCGGATCGTGGCTTCGGGCAAATAAAGTCGCCGTATCTTCAAGGGCCCTCGAGGTGTACATACAGATTCGTGCCGGATACTGGACAGCGGGTCGAGCTGCAGATATATCGACTGGTGTCCATCGGCCGACACAACGGCACTGCGTAAGTAGTTTTTCGGTCACACCTTTCTTTCGATCCGCTCGTATCGCTTAACGGCATCCACCCGTTTGCGTCCTTCTATTCCCCTTTATTACCGCGCGACCGTAAACTTTATGGAAAAGTATCCTCGACACTTATATGTATAGCGTCCTCCTCCGGTTATAACCCCTCATACACGTAAACTTCTTATATCGTCTTACGGTCGAGCCGAAGTAATTTTGAATACGTAATGACATATGGGAACACTATAAGCAGATGACTTGAGACTTACTTTTTGTTGTTTATAGGAGATTGCGCTTTTTTTCCTTGCATTTTATTACAGATCTGTATTAAAGGTGAAGAGTCCGAATTAGGACTCGATTAAATGATTAATTCGATTGATCGATTTTTCTGATTAATTAATATATTAATTTTTAAAGATTTTTAAAGATTATAAGTTTTAATTTAACACTTCTTTCTTTTCTTTGTAGACACTGCACACTACACAGTTACATATTATAAAATTCTAGTAAAAATAACAAGTAATTGAAAAAATTTGCACCTTTAAAATCATTATTGGAAATAATCCGCATTAACATCTTGAAATAATCCAAGAATAATATAGCGATGTATTCAGCCTCATAATCATACATGCTACACATCATCAAAAGTTGTAATCCTTCGCATCATCCAAGTTATTTTATATGTTTATAATTAATAGTATGAATTGCAATCGTTCGCATCGCGCGCGCGCGCGCGCGCGTTGAAATGTTTTTTAAAATTATATAATTGACTAATACTATATGACACCACTGAAGAAGACTGCGTACAATCGAAACGTTTGATTTAATTGTATTAATATGTTTTAATTGTTTTAACATGGTATAATTAAGAAGTAATAAATATTTATAATATTCACTAACATATCCCAATAATTTATGCTCTTGAGTTAGCTTGTTCTTACATTAATTTTACAATTTTAATTGAAAAAATGTTTAATCGATTAATGATAATTAAGTTTAGGCGATTTGAAATCGATTAATCGAATTTTCAATTACATCACCCCTCGCGTTTGATCTTTCTTTAGCTACTTGTACGTGTGTAAGAAAAGGGCTTAATAGTATATTGTGTATCAAGTTCGGAAAGTTGACAATTGGTCACGAGTGCGGGGAATGGACGCACAAGCCGAAGGCAAGTGCGACCACCTCACACGAGTGAACAATTGTCAATCCGCACGTGATACACATACTATTTTGTATTACAAATGCAGGCAAAGTGGCTGTTTCTGCGCGTTTTCTGTGCGCGAGGCGGCCGATCGCACGCCGCCATCTTGTCGCGGCACAGTGGGGAAATAACCGTGTTCAATACATTTCCTACGGCTTCAGCCGTATACAATGACTTTTAACGCGGCTGAGTCATAGATAATGGCTTTGAACGCGACTTATTCACTCACCGCGTCGCCGCTAGATAGCGGCGGGGGAAATCGGCCGCTTTCCGCACAGAAAACATGCACCAAAAGTGCCACTTTGCCTGCACGTGTAATATTGTACAAAATATTTTCAAAATTAACCTTGATTTTAATCTTTACTGGCAATCAAACTTTCTTACCTTGGTTATAATATTTTATTTTGACCAAAAGAAAAATAAAGATGTAAAATTTCGAGAGAAACATTCGAACTAGAACTTGTGATTCTACCCGATTAATCGTTTAATCGACTAATCAAAATCGATTAATTGTTTAATCAAATATTAATCATTTCTTCCAATTACATTAATAATCGCGCGCGCGCGATGCGAACGATTGCAATTCATACTATTAATTATAAACATATAAAATAACTTGGATGATGCGAAGGATTACAACTTTTGATGATGTGTAGCATGTATGATTATGAGGCTGAATACATCGCTATATTATTCTTAGATTATTTCAAGATGTTAATGCGGATTATTTCCAATTACATTACGATTAATCGAGTTTAAATTAATCGATTATTCGATTAAAATCACGAACCCTAGCCCGAATGTTTCTCTCAAAATTTCACATGATTATTTTTGTTGGTCAAAATAAAATATTTTAAATCAATTGATACAAAGTTTCGCTTGTATATTGTAAATACAAAAAGTGATAAATAAAAAGGCCAACTTATCAAGCAATTATTAGAGTTGTTCAGTCAAATAAAATTTATTCCATGTATAAACTATTAAACACAACATTATGTAAAAGCTACAAACATTCAATACTCAAACCTAAGCAAAAATTACAATCATTATAAAATAATAAAATAAACGTTTCAACCGCACGCGCTCTTCCTCAGTATAATTATTCAAAAAAATACAAAATCATACAAAAATTCACATAATATCGAAAATTAATAAAAGTCGAGAATTTATAAGCAGTTAAAGCGTGTTTCAATTCGTCATGTCCAACAAATGTTCGCCTCGATATGATCTTTGATTTTAATCAAATCTCGAAAAGTTTCATCGTTAATATGCGAGAAATAAAAACGTTCCGTAGGCGTTGACATCGTCCTTCTTGACAATGTTAACCACGTTTTTTTGAAAAAATTATTGAAGATGACACAAGACAAGACCAACAATATAAAAAGACACCTCATTTCAAACTCCAAAATATTTTAAACCCTTTTCGCACTCACGTACAAGTAGCTAAAGAAAGAAGAAGCGCGAGGGGTGATATGATTGGAAATCGCTCTCGTCGATGGCCGTTTCAATTTGTCATACTTCCGCTCTTACGAAGCCGATAGCTCGAGAGATTCTCTCGAGTTTCTCTCGACTCGGGGAGAGGTGAGGAGTCAGAAATGACGCCGGCAGAGCTACAGAAGAGAGAATCAGGAGTTGGGGGAGAAAAATTACTGTTTTCAGAAACCCCGCAGCACTTTTCTCTAACCCCACCACGCGCGAAAGCTCGTCCACTCCGGTCATGTTCATGGACAAACTTTGTGGAGGACGGAAAAGGCCTTCGACAAGCCCTGGAAAAGTTCTTACAATTTTTCGACAAGGCTCTTCACCTCAATCCTCCTCGTCCTGTCGTGTGCCACGACGATGAAGTTGGTAGGGCTTTACGACGCGTCGAGCATCATATGAGCGTCTTATTGTAGTGGCTTTTGTTCTCTTTCTCTCTCTGGAATACGCAAAGTATAACAGCCACCGAACGGATGTGTGCTTATTGTGACGACATGAAAGGGAAATTTGCGCCCGTGTGTTCTCGCAATTTGTTATATTTTCTTGAAACAAATTACACTTGTTTTTTTTACCGGCAAACGAAAGACTCGGGTTTGATTTCCGATTCAGTTTACTTTTGGACCGATATTTTTCTCGTCTATTGCTTTACAAAGGGGTTAAAGGGGAACACAGGAATTAGAGATCTCAACTAAAAAATACTATTCCTAATTAGCGAAAAATTAATTTTCGCAATAACTGACGGAAAAGACATATCGCGTTAGGTTCTACAGTCGATATATATATATATATATATATATATAAATTTTAAATTATACTTGTATTAAATTTGTAACCACAATTCGCGAAATATCGCGTATCGCCGTATCTGAAAATAAATTCTATCGAGCGATTAAAATGCATATGAATTTGCAATCTCGATTATTGGATTTAATAATAATTAGCCAAAAATTTATCGACAATTTAACATTTTATTCGCATTAAATATATTTTATGATCAATTTAGCAATATAAATATTTTATAAGCATTTGCAAAAAATCGGCAAAAATCCCTTTGCATTTTTAAAAAGTTCCGAATGTTTAAAAAATTATAAATTGCACGTGTGTAAAATGCAAATCTGCATTTTTCTCTTATTATATCAAAACAAAAATATGTTTCGTAAACGATCTACGATGCTCTCGGCGTCGCATTTTAAATACACATAAAAAATGTAGAAACCCAGTTTAAATCCACTTGTTAGCGAGGAAACAGCCGATAAGCTGAGGGCGAGAAATATCGTTACTCTTGTCTGCACGGCCAAAACCGTTCGCATTTCTTCCGTTCTCTGGGCGTTACACTCCGAGAGAAACTGCAACGATCGGAAGAAACAGCGCCACTCGCACAAACCGTATCGCGCAAATCCTCGTATACGGAAAAATATTGGCATTTGATCAGCTTTATCGCGGAAAATTCTACAAAATTTCAGTATCACACAATCCGCGTAGAATTTTACGGATCATTTCACACGTCTAAACATCAATGAGAGAATATCACGTGAAAGTGTGTATTGGAAACGGTGCACTAAAAACATTTAAATAAAATCGCTTAATCGGGAGATGAGCTTTAAAGCTCATTTGCATTGAATCGATTCGAGAGGAAGAGATATTGTCGAAAATAAAACAGTTGCGCAAATCGATGGACGATCTAAATATATATATATATATATATATATATATATGTGTGTGTGTGTGTGTGTGTATTGGCGCGCTTCTATTGAAAATGGAATAGACGAGACATATAATCGTAGATAACTATGACGTAGATAATACATTTAAATATATATGAGCTTTCCGTCGCAGAGTTATGTTTGGTAAATTGCGCACAATCTTTCGAGAGGATTCAACGTTTACGAATGAGATTGAAATTCTGGTTTTCGTAGTTTACGCAACGCATGACGCTGAATTAATATCACACAGGACCGTAGCATATAGGACGGAGTTGGTGGAAATATGACAAACGACACATGTTACACGACGCGGTCGTGTAATACGTGTGTAGTTCATGCTCGTTAAGTTATAATTAATGTAACTTTCCAGGCCTCCCTCTATGTGTGGAACGCCATAATAGGTGCCTTGTACTGTTCTGTGTCACGTTCACCACATCCCTCAAAGAACAAAAGGTTGCGATCGTTGATTATAGAGAATTACGACGTTATATTCACGTATAAAGCACAGATGTCCACTACTGTCAGATAGCGCATCTCATTATTTCCTTTCCAAGAATGTATAAAAATTTACTTAGATTCATTCCCTTTAAGGGGATGCCGGATGTCTGTTTTATCGAT